TTAAATTCACCCCCTTTTTAAATTCACCCCCTTTTTAAATTCACCCCCTTTTTAAATTCACCACCTTTACATTCACCCCCTTGCAGACACCACAAATAACTCCCCATAATTCTGTTTGTAACTGACACTCAGACACTGACACTTCTCCCTTCATCCAAGTGATAAATCTGGCAATGAAACCTAATTATTATAATAAATATTACAGTGAAATCCCCTATTCTGCCTCTCCCTCTCCACAGCCCTGAAGAGACAGACCAGTGAGGGCATCAGGCATTTGGAACAACTGAAAAAAACCCAAATTAAACAAGGTTTTTTACTCACAAACAGAGGAATATCCTCTGTCTCACTGATGGCTGCTTTCATCATGGCCACCACGTGCTCATTTGTGATCACTTCCTGCAGGGGGAAACACAAAAAAAAAAGTGTCCTTTACATTCTGCTTGTTAAAAAGACACAGAAAATATAATAAACACAACAAACCTTAAAACAAACCACCTGGAAAATAATCAGTGTGCACAACGTGCTCTGTAATCACACTGCAAATAAAACCACTGTTCAGGGATCAGACAATAAAAACCAGTGATAAAAAGGCTGCTCTGCATTCCCTGTGAAAGCTCCACAGAATAAATTCCCAGCAGAGAGAAAGCCAAGCAGTCAAAACAAAAGCCCACACCGGCTTCCCTGGAGTTGTGTCATCAGACCTGTCACACAGTCAGCAAAATGAGCTGCTCCCAGGCACGGGAGAACTTCAATCCTAATTAAACTCCAATCTTTAAGCACTCACAGGCTCCCAAAACAAGGGGCTGATTCTCTGTAGAAAGTATGGAATAATAAACTACATTGTTATACATTTATAACATGTGAACCCTTTAAAAATTGTGCTGCACCATTCCAGCACCCACAGAGGAAGGCATTAATTTATGGTAATTAATTTATTGCACAGAATCTGCCTGAGAGAATCATCCTGGCATCCTCCACGTTGTCTGCCACAGGGATGGCAAAAAGGGGAAATATCTGAGCTCACCTGGGCTGGAGCAACATCAGCTGCAGGGGAGGGGAAATAAAAAAGGCACCATTTCTGGGGGAAAATAATTCCTGTTGCTCTCCAGCTTTGGGATGGGCTGGAACCCACACCAAGAGGGGCAGAGTCAGAGGGTCCCTGCAGAGCTCTGCCAGCAGAGGAATTCTGGAGGCTCCTTTCCAGTGGGGGCTGTGGGATGGGCTCAGAGCCTGGGATGAACGAAGGGTGATGCATTTCTGTCGGCACCCCCGGAATTCCATCGGGATTTTGGGATGAAACAGCAGCTCACAGCCTACACCTGCTCCCCCAGAGGATGGGTTTTAGCTCAGCTATTCCTGCTGCTCAGGAAAAGCAAGACAGCCCCGTGTGCCACTGGAAATGAAGGGAACTGGGATCAACACCTCCCACTAAATCAGGGCCCGGGTGACACGGACACCCCCTGATCCTCCCTTTATGGATCCAACAGGACAAGGGTGGCCAAGACATCCCTGTGCAGGAATCCCAGTGCCCCCATCAGCACCCACAGGCTGGGCTGGAGCCTCCTGGCCTGGCTCGGGATCAGGGGGCAGCAGGAGCAGGGCAGGGATTGTGCCCCTGGGAGGCCTCCCCTCGAGGGCCGTGTCCAGCTCGGGGCCCTCAGCTCAGGAAGGACATGGAGGGGCTGGAGCAGGGCCAGGGAAGAGCAGCCAGGCTGGGGAAGGGGCTGGAGCACAATTCCCGTGAGGAGAGGCTGAGGGAGCTGGGGGGGCTCAGCCTGGAGAGGAGGAGGCTCAGGGGAGACCTCCCCACTCTGCACAGCTCCTGACAGGAGGGGGGGTCGGGCTCTGCTCCCAGGAACCAGCAGCAGGACAGGAGGGTCTTCAGCTGTGCCAGGGGAGATTTAGGTTGGACATTAGTAAGAAATTCTTTCCAGAGAGGGTGCTCAGCCACTGGAATGGGCTGCCCAGGGGAGGGGGTGGATTCTCCATCCCTGGAGGTGTTTAAGGACAGACTGGATGTGGCATCAGTGCCACGGGCTGGGAACTGTGGTGGTAGTGGATCAAGGGTTGGACTTGATGATCTCAGAGGCCCCTTCCCCCCCAGCTGATTCCATGACCCTGTGATTCTCCCCAGCCCCTGGAATGCCCCCAGACTCACGTGCAGGATGTTCCTCACGTTGACCACGGTCAGGTTGTGCTGTTTGGCTCCGTCCTCCAAGGTGCGGTCCAGGGTGTCGTCCAGCTTGATGTCACAGGACAGGGGCCCCTCCTCCTCCTGGCTCTTCCCTTCCCTTTTCCTCTTGGTTGCCTTCCTCCTCCTCTTCCTCCTCTCCAGGTCCTCCCCATCCTGCTCCTCTGAAAGCGAGCACAGACGGGATCTAAACCCTCACCTGCCCCCGGCACCTCCCAGAGGAGTTTAAAAACCAACCCAAACCAGGATCCTGCAGCTCCTGAGGCAGCAAAACTTCCCCCTGCTGATGGGAGGCCACCCAAATGGAGAGATGGAGAGAGCCACAAGAGCCAGGAAGCCTTTGGAATGATGGATTCAAATGCTGGCTGAGCCACATAAAAGATGTGTGGCCACCACCTCCTCAAGGCTGGTTTTACAGAACGGCCTCAGCAGCCTCTGTGCACCTTTTCCAGAGGAAAAGCTGCAAACCCCAGGCACCACATGGTAAGAACAGGAGGCAGCTTCCAGGATTTAAAGTGTTTTCCAACAGGCACACTGCTTTGCTGGCTCAGGGAAGCTAGAATCCTGACTTTCCTTGAAGGAAAAGCAGCGTTTTCAGGGACCAAAAATTGCTGATATCAACTCCAGGCAAGTTCCACTTGGACACCTGTAGTTTATTGAATCACAAGAGCCAAAAAAATGCTGCCCCTAAACAGCCCCCACCAGGGTGTTCACAGTTCCAGAGCCTGTTCCCTGCCCAGTGGGATGAAAAGCCACTCACCAGCCCTGGTGTTCTTCGGTGGCTTCGTGGTGGCAGGATTTCTTCCAGCCCCCTGCAGGGAGCTCCTCCCAGGAGACTCAGGGGTTTCAGTGGGATGTGGATCTCTCTGGGAACTCACTTCCACCTCTGTGAACAGCTTGGGGATCTTCCCTGGGAACAGCACACACCAGGCCATGGTCAGATATCCCAGAAGTTGAGACACAAAACTCCATCATGGCCCAAATACATCAAATCCAGCAAGAGTTTAAATACTTTAAATACATAAATACATTAAATCTGGCACAAGCAGCCCGTGGCAGTGACCCAGGTGGACTAAACAGCAGCAGCAGCTCCCTCCTGCTGGGAACAGTCCCAGGCAAAGAGATTCCCCTGGTGGTTCCTGCTGGTTCAGCCTCACTCCCCCCACCAGCAGCTTTCTCAAACCCCCTCCTGTCACCTGAGGCAGCTGCAAAAACCTGATGGTTTGTTCAAAACGTGGTTGATGTGCAAATACAGCTGCCACAGCAGCCACCAGCTCAGGGGGCAGGCACAGCCAGGGGGTTGTGGGCCAGGGAAACCCTTCCCCTCCTGCTCTGTGCAGGCCCACAACGTTACACAGCCCTGGAAAACTGGGAATCATCTCCTTCCACCCCCTTCTCCAGCCCCAGCTCAGCTCTCCCTCAGACCAGGAGCTCCCTGCAGGAGCAGGAGGGATGGAGGCAACAATTCCCTGGGAATCCCGGGATGGGGCAGGTTGGGATGGACCTCAGGGGGTCACCCGGTCCCAGCTCCCTGCTCAGAATCATCCCAGAGCACGTGGGATGTGTCCAGGGGGCTCTGGAACATCTGCAGGGAGGGACCCTGGGCACTGCCCAGGGAAGTTCTTCCTCGTGCCCAGGTGGAACTCCTGGGCATCAGTTTTGTGTCCTGTTTCTGGGCAGCCCCGAGCAGAGCCTGGTCCATCCCTGCAGGCACTGACAGGCCCTGGGGAGGTCCCCTCTGGGTGTCCCCTGGTCACAGAGATGCTCCAGCCCCTTCAGCATCCTCACAACCTCCCCTGGACCCGCTCCAGGAGCTCCACATCCCTCCTGTCCTGAGGGGAACTGGCCCCACACTCCAGCTGTGCCTCCCCAGGGCTGAGGAACACGGGAGCAGTGCCCCTTTTTCCCAGGGTCATGGAATGCTTTGGGTCTGGAGGAACCTCAGCAGCTCACCCCAGTCCATCCCCTGCCACCTTCCACTATTCCAGGCTGCTCCAACCCGGCCTTGGGCACTCCCAGGGATCCAGGGGCAGCCACAGCTTCCCTGGGCAAGCTGTGCCAGGGCCTCCCCACCCTCCCAGGGAGGAATTCCTTCCTAATCTTTCATCTGAACCGACTTTCTGTCACTTTGAAGCCCTTCCCCCTTGTCCTGGCACTCAGATGGGCTCACAGGGGCCACCAAAGCCCAGCTGAAACCTGGAGCACCTTAAACCAGCAGGAAAACACAGCAAGAACCAGTAAAACCAGCTCTGGGCTGGCCCAGAAAAGCAGGGCAGGGGGGTGATCCCAGAGGAGAGGAAAAGCCTCCAGCAGCCCCTCACACCCCCTCAGTGCTCTGGGCAGATCATTCCCCCACATCCTTGAGCCTGGAGACAAGGCAGGAAAAAAAAACCAGGATGAGGAATTTAGGGAAAGTGGGAACAGGCATTTATCTCAGGAGAAATTTCCCTCAGTTTGCCTCCCACTCAGGAAATCATGGAATGGTTTGGGTGGGAAGGGGCATTAAAGGGACACCTTCACTCTGAGCAGCTTCTGCCCCACCCTGACTCTGGACAATTCCAGGGACTGGGGGGAAACATTGGGAAAAGGGGAAGGTTTTCACCCTGATCCGTAACAATTCCCAGGAAAATCAATAAGTGAACAGATAAATAAACAGATAAATAACCAGTTAGACAGATAAACAACCAGTTAGATAAATAAACAACCAGATAGATCAATAACCAGATAGACTGATAGATAAATCAATAACCAGACAGATAAGTAAATCAATAACCAGATAAACAAATAAATAACCAGATAAATAAACAAATAAATAACCAGATTAATAAATAAATAACAGATAAATAACCAGATGAATAGATAAATAAGCAGATAAATAAATGAATAAATGACCGGATAGACAGATAGATAAATAACCAGATAGATAAATAAATAAATAACCAGATAAGTAAATAAATAACCAGATAGATAAATCAATATCCAGACAGATAAATAACTAAACAGCCAGGTAAATAAACCAGGGATGGCGGGAAGCTTTGGGAAAGGGGCCCCATTTTCATGCTAAACTGTAACACTTCAGGAGGGAAATAAACAAAAAGATAGATAGATATATAGATAGATAGAGAGACAGACAGACAGATAGATAGATTAATTAACTAATAACAGCCATCACAAACCCCCAGGACCCAAAGCCAATCCCCTTCCCAGTACCTTCCACCAGGGATGGGGGGAAGTGCTGGGAAAGGGGCCCCATTTTCACACTAAATTGTAACACCTCAGGAGGGAAATAAATAAAAACATAGATAAAAATATAGATAGATAGGCAGATAGATTAATTAATTAACTAATAACAGCCACCACAAACCCCCAGGACCCAAAGCCACCCTCCCCTTCCCGGTACCTTCCGCAAGGGATGGGGGGAAGTGTTGGGAAAGGGACTCGTTTTCCTGCTAAACTGTAACATTTCAGGAGGGAAATAAATAAAAAAATAGATAGATAGATAGACAGATAATTAATTAATTAATCTAACTAATAACAGCCATTACAAACCCCCAGGACCCAAAGCCAACCCCCTTCCCGGTACCTTCCACCAGGGATGGGGGAAGCTTTGGGAAAGGGGCCCGTTTTCACTTCAGGAGGGAAATAAACAAAAACATAGACAGATAGACGGACAGACAGATAAAATAATTAATTAATTAACTAAT